TATATATATATATATATATATATATATATATATATATATATATATATATATATATATATATATATATATATATATACATATACAACTCTATAAGAAAAATTTTGATTTATCGGAATTTGTATTTATAGTATAGTATAGTATTCTCACATTTTATATTTACTTGTAGGTTCAAAAATATCAATAACTTTCATGATACTATCACTCTTTTTCAAATGAACTACTACAGAGGTAATGAGATAATTTAAGAAATACAGGATAATATATAGTAACTATTACAGATGTATGAATAAATATAAATAAGCATGATTAATGTTGATTTTTGTGTTATTTTGTGTAAATTTTCTGTATTATCTCAGAATAACTAAACCAAGATTTTAACACAGTGCAATCAAGGCACTCTCAATAGTTTCTTAATAATTATGTCAGTAACATTCATTGTGCTCAGTACCAATAGAAATATTCCCAAGCGTTTACTATCAGATGTATCAATTACGTCAAGTTTTATTAAAAAGAGTATTAATAATATTATTATTAGCCATTTAATATAATTTATATTATATTATATTATATTATATTATATTATATTATATTATATTATATTATGTTATATTATATTATATCATATGATATCACAAGTAAAGAAAAATATTGGCGCGCGTAAATTTTCAAATGGCATAATGAAATCATTCCATTGTGTTTTCTTAATAATTGCGCTAATAGTAATGAATATATGTTCACACTGGCAACATCTAAACGCATCCAAATAGAGATAACTACATCATTTGCATCTAACTCCAATGAAACATATTCACTAAATGCAAATGCTGGTATAAATCGTATTCAGCATCTAGTGAATGTTTCATTGAAGTCAGATATAAATAATATAATTATCACTATTTGGATGTGTTCAGATGCTGCCAGTGTGAACATATTCATTACTATTTGTGCATTAGATAGTATTCATGTCATAAACATACTTTTTAAGCAAGATATTGATTGCTTAAGCATGATATTGAGAAAACAACGAAAAGATCAAGGTTATATATACTAAAAAGATAATATATACTAAAAAAATTCAAACAAAATCGAAAAGTGAGGCATAATAACGTTGTTATCGCATTATGCGTTGCTCTTTTTTTATAACGACTTAAGAAATATTTTTTTCCTCTTGAATTTCTATGGATAACAAGAATGAATGTAATTATTACTTTTGTTATTACAATGCGTATGTAAAATATATGTGCATAGGTTAAGCCGTAATAAATCATGAAAACAGTGTCAAAACGTTATCTCTTATACGTAGAGCCATATTCATCGTCGAATCTTTTTTTGAAGTTTATATTAATTTTGGACACTTATACGACGCCGTCTAAATTCATAATTTAATGTTAAACAAAATTGCACATACGAGTCCATAAAAGTGCGCTTCGAATATATTGTTCCTATTGAAAGAAATAACAGAAATATTACACAGCTGAACAGAAACAGCTGTCTCGAGAATAAACATTGTCTTAAGTATTCGCGTAAGTCTTCGCGAGGGCAATATCAAATTAAATAAGAATTACTTGAGAGAAAGTCTCTTCGCGAAGGTCGTGTTACATTATAATTACTAATTCTACCGATCTTAATAAAGTCTGAATTGGATAAAACAGTCTTTCATCTAACTAGTCTTAACAATTTTACTGATATAAATGACGGTAATTCTCATCATGGGTAAGAAAGGACTCAAGTGTCGTCTTGAGACTTGACTATAAACAGAATCTGTAATAATTTATTGCTTGTTTAAAGATCAATATATCATATAGGAAACCGGTTTACTTGTATAACAATAATGAAGTTTATATAATGCAGGAGAACCAATGGGGGATTGGAAAATACTATAAGTAGCAGACGTTCTATGAAGAATGTGCAATGTGTATTTCTTCGTCGAGACGGGAATGTGTGCTAGAAATTCAAATATAGTTGTGAAGTGACACATTATTAAAATCGTCATTATCATTAAAAATTACTTTTTTTACTAACTTTGTTAATGAAATTATCTCTCTTCTTTTTTGTTAGTAACTATAATGGTAACGCAACTACGTTTTGTTAGATAATAATAAACAAATATAATTCTCAACTTGTATTGTTACTTTGCCCACATAAATAATACACGTAAATAATACACGTAAAATACACGTATTGGAAAGCAAGAAATGATAAAAGACGACTCTTAAACTCGGTTAAACAGTAACAAAAATTGTAACAACCCGTTACCCCTCGAATAACGATACTACGATAATACGAACAATTTATTTTGGAGAACAAATAAAGGTAACGATAATGATTTTGTTTTTTAGTTAATTCATTGTATAACAATATTAAGTTATTTTTAAAAAATAATTTATCGAACATTACATTCAGATTAGTGTAATAACTTCACAAACATCATGAAAATTAGTCGATATAACAGTTTGAAATAAAAAAATAACTTAATTATAAAAATGACAAAATGATCCGAAAAAAGAATTTATTTAAATTCCGAAAAAATTTTAAAGTTGCTAAACGACGTATCATTCGTTTAATATAATTTTTTTACATTAGGGTAGTGTGAAAACTAATAAAGTTGTGACATAGCACAATGACGGTATATCTCCATGCTTGGTTAATGATCGTTCTGATAATCATCAATATAATTACGCTGGGGACAGCTTGTGGGTACAATTGCAGAAGACCACCAACGTTCAATGCCAATAATCTTCCTACATATAACACTTATCATCGGTATCGTTGGTATCCCGCTTCGCAACGCACGTATTTACCAATGCAGAATACAAATGTAGGATATTATCCAAGTATCACCGTTGTAAGAAATAAGATGCAATGTCCATTTGGACAACGGATAGATGCACGCGGAATGTGTCGCTATAAGGCATACCGTTAAAATCATAGAATATATCAACTGCATGTAAGCAGGTAATTATTAGTTTAAAATTGATTAATCTTAACTTTATATATACGATAATATATAAAGTTATATAAGAAAAATTCTGATTTGTCGGAATTTTAATTTTTTACATTTATCTATAGTATTCTCACAATTTATATTTATTTACAGGTCCGAAAATATCAGTAATTTTTATGATATCATTATTCTCTCTCACATAAACTAACACAGAGATAATGAGATAATTCAAGAGATGTGCGATAATGCGCAGTCACCCTCCACAGATGTATGAATAAATATAAATATGCATGATTAATGTCGATTTTTCTGTTATTTTGCCTGAATCCTCTGTATTACTTCAGGATAATAAAACAAAATTTTCACACAACACAATGAAGACATTCTCAATATACAATTAATCAACAATAATTAAGATAATAATTCTTATTATCGGTAGTGAAGAACTCAAGTGTTGTTTTGAGATATGCATATAAACACAATTCTTAGTAATTCATTACTTGTTCGAAGATGAATATATTACAGAGGAAACCAGGATACTCTCGTATGACAATAACGAGTTTATGTAATGCGAAGAAACCAATCGGGGGATTGAAAAATATTATAAATAGCAGACGCTTTATGGAATGGAGATATTGTGTACGTTATAGTTCAGCCAATAGAAGCGGTTTAAACATTTTTTTTTATCGCCATATAGTATAGCGCACCGCACTGTAATAGTTACCTTTCTCTTCTGTTCTATATTTCGTGCTAGTCAGTCTTGTAAGAATATTTGACGCGGCAGCAATAAAGGTCAGTTTTAAGGAAATATTGTCGTAGTTATTTCCGCGCAGTGAGCATTGGAAAGAAATAGCGTCCACATATGCACACGGCACAAGTCGTAGCATCAAGGATCTTAATAGCTCAAAGCTCAAAGATTCTTCCCAGATCCTAAACAGAAGGTACAATGTGTGTTTCTTCGTCGAAACGTTAATATGTGCTTCAAAGTTAGAAAGTGAGACGTTATTGAAATCGTCGTTGTGATTAAAAATGACTTTTTTAATAACGATTTGTTAATATTGTTATTTCTTTTTTTGTTAGTAACTGTAACGGTAACACATTTACGTTTCTTCAGGTAATAATAACAAGAATAATTCTCACTGTATTGTTACTTTGCTCATATAGAATACATCTGTACCTGTATAGAAATTGTAACGACCCGTTACTTCTCGAATAACAATAATACGAACAATTTATTTTTGAGGACAAATAAAGATAACGATAATAATTTTACTTTTTTAGTTAACTCGTTGTGTAACAACATTAAGTTACTTTTAAAAAATAACTTTTTCAACGTCCAATTCAAATTAGTGTAATAGTTTCACGAACATCATAAAAATTGATCGATATAACAGTTCGAAATGAAAAAATAGCATAATTATAAAAAGACAAAATAATCCAAAAGAAAGAATTTATTTTTAAAATTCCGAAAAAATTTTAAAGTTGCTAAACGGCATATTGTTTAATATAATTTTTTTAGGGTAGTGTGAAAATAAGTAAAGTTGTGACACAGCATAATGGCGGCATTCCTTCATGCTTTCTTAATGATTGTTCTGATAATTATCAATGTAACTACGCTGGGGATAGCTTCGAAGGACAACATTGGAGGACCAACGTTCAGCATCACCAAACTTCTTACATTTAAGAGCTTACATTTTCGGTATCCTTCTCCGCAACGCATATCTACACCACGTACACCATATATGTCACCAACTTACCTACCTCCTAGTCCAGCTGCAACTACTATTCCACCTGTAACTGAATGTGGATGTGGATGTGCATATGGATGTGGAGCTGGAGGTGCAGATCCTAACATTGCCGTGGTAAAAAGTAAGACATTTTATAAGAAATGTCCAAACATTGGACAAAGGGAAGATCCACACGGAATATGTCGCGATGTACAAAGACGTTAAAATCACAGAATATATGATCTTCATGTAAACAGGTAATTATCAGTTTAGGTTTTACTAATATCAACTATACATGCGATATGTACAATTGTATAAAAGAAAATTCTGATTTATCGGAATTTATATTTTTTACATTCATATATAGTATTCCCATATTTCATATTTATTTGCAGGTCCAAAAGTATCAGCAACTTTTATGATGTTATCATTCTCTTTTAAATGAACTAGCATAGAAATAATGAAATAAGAGATAATTCAAGAGATTTATGATAATATATAGCAAACCCACAGATGTATAAATAAATATAAATATAATTAATATCGATTTTTGTGTTATTGTGCAAATCCTCTGTATTACTACATGATAACTAAACAAAAATTTTCATACAACACAATAAAGAGTTTCAATACTCTCATGATAATTTGTTAATAACAATCATTACGCACAATATTAATAAGAATAGTCCAAAGGGCTTACCGTCAAGTGTATCAACTATGTTGCCAAGTTTTATTAAAAATAGTATTAATAATATAATTATCCGCCGTGTAATGTAATTCGTCGTTTATTAATATAATTTAATATTATATACTGTTTGCTTATATCATAGAAGCTTATATCATAGAATATTAATTAAGGCCCAATTTGGCCTCAATTATATTTTTTTATTGTTACACGAAGATAGTAATAGTAACATGCATATAAGGTTATTATCATTAACATTATAGTACAATTGACTAAAAAATGGTTTTCTTGACCAAAATTTATAGTAACTATTTCTCTATATGATTATAGTTACAAATATCAAACATTTTTCTTTCAGTGTGAATATATTTTCTAATCTCCCACACATTAAATATCTAAAAAAAGAAGTGAGAAAGCAACAATTTCTAACAGTGAATTGCAGTGAATGACAATGAATTAATAACAATGAAGTAATCTCTAACAATGAATGATTAATGCAATTAACGTGGAACATAAACAAATTAGTAACAGTCATCTTTTTATCTTCTATCTGCAACTAATTATCATATTTTAAACGTAAACAGACGATTTTTCATTGACGATTATGAAACTTACAAGATGCGTAATACTATTATAAATAGTATCTGTGCAGGATAGAAGTAAAAGTACATATTCGAAACGATTAGATGCATCTCAAACTCATGTTATTTTCTTCAGTGGAATGCAAATTAACCGATATACCGATAGAAGGGAAGAATTAAGTTACAAAAGCAGCATTTGAAGATATTAGAAAGATTGAACAAAGAACTGTTTCGATATAATGAAAAAAGTCGCTAAGGAGAGCCCGAATTTTTATTCTCAATTTCTCGATTTTTGCGTCGTGAGTAATATTGCCATTTTTCCACAATACAATATGAAAGCATTCCTTCATGCTCTACTGGTAATTATGCTGATAGTAATCGATATAATTACACTGGGAATGTCCGAAAGAGCACACGGAATGGCAATATAACAACACAAATTGGATCTACCACGAAAACATGTAACATTTCGTCGTAATGGACAGAAACATAGTTATATCATAAACATTGCGTCTCCAAAAGGTCATGTTTCGATTTATCCAGGAAATCAAATGTTGATTCACGCGCGATATGAGAGGATATAATATCGAAGATATATGCAGATAACTGTCAATTTAGGACTTATTAATTTTGATCACGACAGATGGAATTGTATATCAGAGATTTTGTCGGATCTATCCGAGTTTACGTTTCATACATTTATTTATGCAATTTTCTATATTTGTTCGCGGCCCCAAAAATATTGACAACTTGCACGACGGGAAGATTAGTAAATAATATAGATAAATGAGGGTAATTCGCAAGAAACACGAAATAGCTTAAAGCATAGAATAAATATGAATAAATTTAAATTTTCATTGTTGATGTCGATCATTATATTATCCTATATATATCATCTGAAACAATCAATAAATTAATTTGATGATATATAAACAATAGAACAATAAAACAACAACGGTGTGTACGTTTTTTAGAATTCTGTGCGAAAAAAATATTCGATTAGAAAATCTCGGTAAAATAAGTTTACATAATCGTTATTTTATGATAGTTACATAATAAATAGTTAATAAAATACTTTCTATTGTGATTACATAAGATTATTTCTTATTAAAACTCAAATTGCAAAGATCTAACCATTGCTAAGATAAACCATTTTTCTCTGCAACGTTTGAGTGGGATTATTAAACGAGGAGTTCCGATAACCATCGGCATCGATAAGCATTCTCTGAACTGGCATACAAAGTATAGATTTATTTCCCAACTTCTTCTAAACAATAAAATATTCGAGAAGCTATGCCAATATTTTGTAACAATAAATAATGCCACTTTTCGCGGAACATAAGAAATGTAACAATCACTTCTTCATACTCTATTTTCAAGTAATTATGGCGCTTCAAACATAGTGATTTACTGCTTGTATGAAAACAGGATATTCCGTATAAAGCCGGTTTTCTCATTGATCATTATGAAACTTGCATAATACCATTATAATGCATTATAAATAGTATGTGCGCGGAATGGAAATCACAATACGTGTAAATTCGACAAAACGGTAAGACGTGTCAGTAAGACTCGAATCCATGTTAAATTGTTAAATTATGTATAAAAAATAATTGATAATAAAAAATTAAGTAGAAAATTAAGTTGCGGGAACAGTGCGTATGAGAAAATTTGGGAAATCGACCAAAAAGTGTTTGTGAGAAAAAGTTGAAGTAGTGGAGAAGTTGGCAAGAAGAATTTCAACTTCAACTTCAATATTTTTATTTTTAAGTTGTGGAAAATATCGATATTTTTACACGATATAATGAAAACATTCCTTTATGTTTTCTTGATAATGGCGCTGATATCGATCAACATGATACCACTGGGAACATGCAATGTATCTACTGAAGCACCCAAGGAATTGATTGAAACACAGACAACACAATTTACAACACCTTCCATCCTTTATCCAAAAAATAGTAAACGAATACCGCTTAAGGGTCATATCATAGATACTCGTATGAGATTTCGTAGTGGAATTTGCCCAGAAGGACTACAAAAAGATCAACATGGAATATGTCGCGAGAAAGTATAATGTTGAAGACACATACAGGTAATGATGAGTTTAACTGCAGTACAAAATTGTATATACGAGAAAATATATCTGATCTACCAAAATTCGCAAATTTATGTATTTTTCTCTATGTATTTTTCTGACGTTTTGCTCACTTACTTACTTGCAGATACAAAGTTGCTTACCGATGATCTTTTACATTATAGAAATTGCCGAAGTATCCAATAAAAATGATGGGATAGACGGATAAATATGGAATAATATATATATATAAAATTGTATAAAAAATAAAAAATATGTAAAGTTTCTTAATTAATATCCGATAGTGTGTACAATACTTAGAACTCTGTGCAAGAAAATATTTGATTAGGAGATCTCAATAAAATCAGTTTTACATAATCGTTATTTTACGATAGTTAAATAATAAATAGTTAATAAAATACTATCTACTGGTTACATAATTATTTCTTATTAAATTCAAGTTGCAAAGATCTGAACTATTTTTCTCTGCGACGTTTGAGGGGGGTTATTAAACGAACAGTTGCGATAAGCAGCGTCATTCTTTGGACTGGCGTACAAAGCATAGATTTATTTCCCAACTTCTTCTAAACAATAAAATATTCGAGAAGCTATGTCAGTATTTTGTAAAAATAAATAATGCCATTTTTCGCGGAACATAAGAAAAGTAACAATCACTTCTTTATCCTTTATTTTCAAGAAATTGTGACGCTTCAAACATATTGATATTGGTTGTAGCAAAACAGGATATTCTGTAAAACCAGTTTTCTCATTATGAAACTTACATAATACCATTCGAATAAACTATAAATAATACGTGCGCGGAATGGAAATCACAATACGTGTAAATTCTACAAAACGGTAAGACGTAACAGTAAGATTCAAATCCATGCAAAATTCTTAAATGATGTTTAAAAACTAATTGGTACGTGTGAGAAATTAAGTTGTGGAAATAGTGCGTATGAGAAAATTTAGAAGATCGACCAAAAAGTGTTTGTGAGAAAAAATTGAGGTAGTGAAGAAGTTGCCAAGAAGAATTTCAACTTCAATATTTTTATTTTTAAAATATCGACATTTTTATACGATACAATGAAAGCATTCCTTTATGTTTTCTTAATAATGACGCTGATATCTATCAGCATGATATCACTGGGAACATGCGATGTATCTACTGAAGCACCCAAGGAATTGATTAAGACACAGACAACACAATTTACACCTTACACCCGTTCCCCAAAATATAATCGCCGAAGAAGACCGCATGGGGGTCATATCGTACGTGTTCGCACGAAATCTTTTTAAGTAATTTGCCCAGAAGGACTACAGAAAGATCAACAAGGTATGTCACAGCAAAGTATGATGTTAAAGACACATACAGGTAATGACGAATTTTAATGCAATAGATAGAATTTTATATACGAAAAAATATGTCTGATCTATCAGAATTCGCAAATTTATGTACTTTTCTATACGTTCTGACATTTTGCTTACTTGCTTGCTTGCAGATACAAAGAGGACTATCGATGTCTTTTTACAATATAGAAATTACCGAGGTATCCAATAAAATTGATGGGATAGGATAATAATATATGTGTAAAATTATATAAAAAATAAAAAAATATGTAAAGTTTCTTAATTAATATCTGATGATGTGTATTATTTTGTAATTCCCCTTCAAATGAATGTGTTAATTAATTATTTATGCGGCTTAATGTTATATTTTAGGAAGTGTAATTTTTCGTTTATATAAAAGAGGTAACACTAGCTTTTTAACCGGTTTTTTCACGTTATAGCATGCAGTCAGGAAACGGCATAAATATAAATCGCAGACTCGCGGCGGCAAAGTGACAATGTGTATTTATTACGCGAAATATCGAAACATCAAATCATAGTGCAACGAGAGAACTTCGATTCGTTAAGAAAATATTGCAGTAAGTTCATAAGTTTATATATACACGAAAAAACAACGCAGGAATATATCGCAGAAAAATTTTAACCAGCTGCTGCATAACTTCAGAACCTCAGAAACTTTTATTTTGTAACAGTATTGAACAGTTCCGTAAATGTCATAAACACTTCTTAATTATAAACCGTCATATTTCACACAAGCAAAAAACCACAACGTCTAAGACACAATATTAAATTATGTGCTAACGCGTAAGATGTACAAACGATTTTAATTAACGTATATGCATCTTGAAATCCTGCAAATACTTGCAAAATCCTGTCAATTACTACGTAACACGGAGTAAACGTGATACAAGTAAAACTTGAGAAGATATAGACGGCGGCAATTCTTTCTTATAGAAGTCTATTGTACATATTTAGGGTGGCGGGTAATTGACAGAGGAGTTGCAAGTAGATTACGTCAAACTGAATAAAAAGTTCCTCTACCATTTTGCGAACAATCACGTAAAATTCTAAATTATTAATTAAAAAAGATTCGTGAATAATTACGCGTACACTGAAAAAAAAGTTTGATACTTATCAAATGCGTTTTACCATACCATTTGGTAAATAGTAACCAATATGGTAAATGTTACCAAATGTGTGGTAATAATTACAAAATTGTTAGTAACATTAAGTTTCATATAGTAATTCACCTGTTATATTTAGTTGATACTATTTCATTAAATGTAGTAACTATAACACAGGCTGGATAATTATTACCAGAAATTTTTCTCAGTGTATGGTAGATGAACTGTCGCGAAACTGATATGGTAATGTCTGTCGCTATATGTTTATATATTAAGTGAAACTAAACAAAAAAGTCCTCTACCATTTTCCAAATGACTACGTAGATATTTAATTATTAATTAAAGAAGTTTGATGTACAGTTATGCGTATTATATACCAATTTTTTATCCTTATATTATGAATAATTCAAATTTAGGCTTTCAATTTACAATGAAGATTTTCCTTAACGTTTTCCTGATCATCGCGATACTGGTGGCCATTGCAAACCCGAAGGAAAATCTGCAATAAAGGAAGTTCCTAATAGAAATTGTCCGAAAGGTTTCAGAAAAGATATTTATGGAATATGTCGTCTTATAATACAATTATAGAAAAACCTGCAGGTAATTATCGATTTAACATATAAAATTTTAAATCGATTTAACATTCAAAATTTTAATTGTAACAAAGATATCGTAAACTGAAATATTGATATTAGTAAGTACGCGAAATAAATAGAAAACTGTAGGATATTTATTCACACATTGTTGCACTTCAATTATTTATATTTAAATATATTAATTTCGAGAAGAAGTGAATATTTATAAAACCGACAGTAATTCCGCAATTTTACGAAAATGACTATAAGAGATATCTAATTCCCGAATGAACGCGAGCTTATCTTTTTCGACGTTGTTACTCTTCGTAACTTATACCTAAAAAACTTACCTTTTGAAGAAAGGTAAAAAAAGAGCGCCTAGTACTTGCGCCTAGTACTTGCGCTCCGTAAAAAAAGAAAATTGTCATACAAAATAATTCGTACAAAACATTATATTATAAAATAATTCGTACAACAAATTCGTACTTTTCTACTACAAAATTAATGATATCAGGAAATTTGCGCCAAGTGAATATGATTAATTATAATATATTATATTATTTTTCTAATCACTTTATTTGTTATTAGACTTTGTTATGTACTTATTTTTTGTATGTTACATTATTCTGTGTTAGATATATGTTTGGTAACTCGTTTTGGTAAACGAGTTTGTTACGTAACAATTCGCCGTCCAGGAAGTGGCTTCGCGTAAATATATCACGGCCGCTCAGTATTGCAATGGCGGTTGCGCTCAAACTAGGCGCTCAAATCACGGTCGTGATTTTTTATTTAGGAATAATAACTTCACGGAAGCAGAGATCTGTGACATACACGTGCCGTACGTTTCTTTGAGAAAAAAGTAACTGCAGAATTTCGTCAATAACCAGTTTTACACTACAACACGTAGTGTTACGTAAATATACGTTCAGGAAAGTATAAAAGGCAAACCAATGACGGCGTTGCAGAGCTTGTTTACGTGCTAGAGGTCAACCAGTCGGATTTTTTTACTTAGCGACGGAAGATTGCGAGAGAACTCAGACAATTAAAGAAACTAGTAAATGAAGTCAAGAAAATTCATAAAAATCTTGGATAAATGAATTGATAAATCTTGGATAGTCAAATATAAGAAAAGAATTAAAATTCGAAATAACTGGGAAAAAAAGATGATCGGCTGAGGGAAATAGTGCCTATGAAACTATAAGTATAATTGTTCCTATGAACAAACGATATATGAATTTCCATTTGTCAGTCATCTTGTTATTCAAAATGTGCAACCTTTCAGGATATCGCTGCAAAATGAAACTTCTCATGAACGTTATGTTGATAATTGTAATACTGACGGTCACTGTGATTCTATTTAAAACATATCAGGAAAGCACGAATAAATCGTCGACTTTTATAAAATTTTCTAAAAATATCCTGTCTTTCCCGGAAAAAAATATTCCTTGCCCGGAAGGCAAAAGAAAAAATCGTGATGGAAAATGTCGCATGCAAGAGTAATGGTGAGTGTAATGACAGAATATGGGTGGAGGGATATAATTACAGTCTAACACTTTCCACTTTACACAGAAAAAAGAAATTTTTTGTTTTTGTTAATATTAATCTTTAAATGCGATTGCATAGTATTAAACAAAAAAAAGTTACTTGCAAATTATATATAAATTATATATTGTTGCTTATATATTAAACAACCCAGTAAACACAAAGTATCATCCATATTACAATGTCAACTCAATCATATGGTATATTATGTATCTGTTACTTTGTTATATAACAAAGTAACAGTTACGTAATATACCATATGATTGAGCTGACATTGTAACATTGATGATACTTTGTGTTTATTGGGAATAATTATTTTATATATGTTTATATACAGGGTGTTCAAAAAGTCCCGGACCGGTGAAATATCTCGAAAACTAAGCATTTTAGAAAAAAATGTTTCAGATAAAAGTTGTGGCGTTTAAAAAGATGTATTTACTGATCACATCAGTTTGAC